ATTTGAACTTCACATAATTTCACATTTGACTCCTTTCAGTTTGCGGGGTAAAACCGCTTCACATTTCTTCACATCTTCTCACAGTTTGAATTCACATTTTTTTTGGCCATCTTTTCGGGTTGTGTGATTTCACATAATCGATTCACATTTTTCAAACAGTTACATTGTTTCACATAAAATAACATTTGACGATTCACATTTTGAAAAAAAAATCACATTTTGGGTTTCACATATTTCTAATGGGATTCACATTACATCACATTTTTTCACATTTCATTAAAATTTTGCACGAAATTCACATAATTTTCACATTCATGCACCTGGTAGTGGTTTTGCGCGCTCGTGTGTGTGTACATGTATGTGTTTGTTTGCATTTATGCATATGTATGTGAGAAAATTGTGCCACTTTGACACAATGTAACATTGCTACAATGTCACCATGCATACAATATCACCATTTATACATTTACACCTGTCCATTTACCTGTAATCTTGTAGACCTCATTTCCCCAAGCCCCGCCTTTGCCGTCCTCTGCGCAGGTTGTAGTAGGTCCGTACCTGTTGTAAGTGTTGATGCCATTAGCAGACCCGAAACACTCTCCGCCATACTGTACAGCAAACACGGTGAAGCCACGAGACAGCGCTACCTGGTAACACTTCTGGATGGCGTGATGACGGCTCTGGTAGTCACCATCCAAGAGCGAATCTGTCCCCTCTAGAATCGGAATGGCGCGGGTAGCAGAGTCCCTCCAACAACCCAGGCTGGTGTACCCTGAGGAGACAGAAAGGACTGAATCAGTAATGGTATCATAAAAACGCCACCAATCATTATTCTAAACCTGTAAGGATCAATAAATAACATCATTCATGCAAATTAGGACTTGTGTCTGTTGATTGTGTATGTGCACGTGTGAATGAATGAATGAATGAGTTTTTATTTCCATGTCATGCCCTTCACGTGCCCAGCCCATGTGAGCTACTCTCCAAGCAGAGGTTTGGAAAAAAATTCAGTGCAAAAGAGAAACCCCGATAAAAAAGCAAAAGAAAAAAAACACACGCTAAAATACCCCCAAACTGCTTGGAGAGTATTGTGGGCATGAACGACAGCATTTGATAGTACTATGTAAGTAGTATATGAACAAAAGAGGATTGGGTGTACAGAGGTAATTAAATCAAACCATAGAGGGAGCACAAAAAAGGAATAGGTAATTACGTAAGACGCATACATTGTATATGTACAGAGAAAAAACTCCCTGAACTCATAATATATGAAATGATAAATGCAAGTAAAAAGATGCTGTACGTAATAAACAAAGATGTCACAAGATAAATACAAGTTTATAAGATCAATGAAATATAATGAAGGAACGCAAACATACACAGAGGTAACAAAAGGGGATGACTATTAATGAGGTATGAATATGTGCGTCTGTTTCTGTGTGTATGTGTGTGTGTGTGCATTTGTGTGTGTGTGTGTGTGCGTACGTGTGTGCGTGCGCGCGCGTATTTGTGTGTGTGTGTGTGTACGTGTGTGTTTGCATGCATGAGAGTGAACGCGTGCATGTTTGTGTATGTGTGTGTGTGCGCGCGCATGAATAAATGAATTATTGAGTGCATAAATGAATGAATGAATGAATGAGGCTTTATTTCCGTGTCGTGCGCTTTACGCCCACAGGCCATGTGGGCTTGTGCGACACCATTTGATATGTGTATTTGCGGTATGCCTAAATACCGCAACCGACCGCGTAATGGGTTAATATGCAGTATACATGGGCTAACAACCTTTTCCAACGCTCTGGATACATTATCTATGCTTGTGTGAATGGAAAAAAACACTGTAACTCTGACGATTTTACCAGTTTGTAAAAGTTATCCATTGTTGGGCCTGCATGGGGAATCTCTGGACACTTTTTGCTTTATACAGGCAACAGAACGCAAAGATGTTGGTTTATAAATCATATTTTTAGTAAAGCACAAATACTATCATAACCAACTCATAATAGCTATATATAGAGTGTTTCCCTGCCTGACATCCAAGCTGCTAAGCACGTACGCCTACCGGCTTGACCTCCATTGACCTCAAGGAGGAACGCTCCGCGGAACCAACCAACGAACTTCGGGGTTGGCTAGACAGATCATTTATATTAATAGTTGGATGTCGATCCCTTCATGCTTTTAAATTTCATTCAAACAAGCATAGACAATGTATCCAGAGCGTTGGGAAAGGTTGTTAGCCATGTTTTCTGCATATTTACCCATTACGCGGTCGGTTGAGGTCGGTTAAGGTCGGTTGAGGTATTTAGGCAGACCCGTGTATTTGTGTGTGTGTGTGTCTTTAAGTGTCTTTGTTTTCGTTTGCGTGCGCATGTGCAAGCATTCTTGCAAGCGTTTGTGCTTTGTGTACGTGTGAGTATGTGTGTGTGAACATGTACATCCGTATGTCTGTTTTCATGTATGCGTGTGTGCGTGTATGTGAGTGTGTGTGTGTGTGTGTGTGAGTGTGTGTGTGTATGCATGTGTGAAAATTGTTCCAAGTTTGATACAATATAACATTACTACAATATCACCATGCAAACATTATCATCACATTTGGCATCTACACCTGCCTAATAGTGTGTACCTGTAATCTTGTAGACCTCATTTCCCCAAGGCCCGCCTTCGCCGTCCTCTGCGCAGGTTGTAGTAGGTCCGTACCTGTTGTAAGTGTTGATGCCATCAGCAGACCCGAAACACTGTCCGCCATGCTGTACACCAAACACGGTGAAGTCACGAGACAGTGCTACCTGGTAACACTTCTGGATGGCGTGATGACGGCTCTGGTAGTCACCATCCAAGAGTGAGTTCGTCCCCTCTAGATACGCCATGGCGCGGCTACCAGAGTCCCTCCAACAACCCAGGCTGGTGTACTGAAGGACTGTGTGGAGGCATACAGGTATCAAAACATGAGCAAAATATTGAACTTTTGGATACGTTGGTAACCACAATATCCAGAGCCCCATGACAGAAAAGGAGCTTGCCTATGTAAGGTTTCTCATTAATGTTGTCTTTCAGATAAGAATTGTCGTTAATTTATATGATATTGTTTAGTTTTTTGCTATTTGTTTTTTTTTTAGTTGTATTAGTTTACCGATGAAACCCCGTGCAAGGATACAGAGAGGACCAAGACCAAGAAAAAAATTTAAGGTAAGAATCATAAAAAAATCTCGGTTTCTTTCTCACCCGTTTCAGCGAAGACATCCACCTCGCAGAGTTGGAGGTTGTCCGCCCGTCCGATCAGCTGAATGGAGACGTACCGGCCGGTCATCGGCTGGTCGCAGTACACCACGACTGTCGCTCCATTCCGCGGAGTGGCCGTGTAAGTCTCCCCACACTGGTCATTCCGGGTGAAGTCCTCATTCGGGCCAACTCTCACCATAAAGTTTCTCAGTCGATCTCCTATATATGTACAAGACAATACAGGTTTACAAACGTAATTTACGGTAGTTTAGTATGCAGCGTTTATGGCGACTTCTATCGGAATACTTTTGTATTCTACAATGTACAAGTGAATAATAGTATCATTTGCTTGTGCGGATAGTCATTCTTGAATATCTTTTTGTTTCATAAATCAGAAAGGTTAGCGAGCAGGTCAGTGCATACATGTATATACGGGCCTATTCACGTAGGCCCAGTCGACATGGATAGGCCTTCTTACTACTCGTTAGGTTACATGTATAGCAGTACTATTATATAAAACACTGTAATTATAGAATTTTCTCATTAATCATGCAAATTAAGTCCTGATTCGCATAATTTGCATTTAATTATGTACAACTCTCAATGATGATTTTCAATGATGAAAATATGATGATCCTATCTGGACTTACTGGCGTCAAAAGTTTTTACCAGAAACTAACCTGCAGTTCCAGAACAAGCCGCTAGGGGGATCAAACTTACACCACTTATTCCTGACAGGATACAACTATGATTTAATAGTAAATTTCGTCAAATTTAAATGAAATTATTGCCTTAACATTCTTTTAATATTAGCTGTTTATGTTAAATCATTGATTTTGCAAAGTTTGTCTCTGAAAGACGTTTTTTTCGGGTTTCTGACCACAAGTCATGTCATGTTTTTAGGCAAACATCGTTTATACCTGGATACGTATATTACCCCAGATCCCCGATTTTTAATATTTTTCAACGACTGGGGATAAGATCAAAAATCGTGTTTTAGGGATTTTTTAATTTCTGATTTTATGTCTAGTTTTTGTCGACATTTTTTGTGAAAAAATTGATTTTTTTACATTTTTCGCAGTAAATTACCCATAATTCAAAATTGAGGCCATTTTTCAAAAATCCCTAAAACACGATTTTCGGGACAACCGTAACGGTCATTTTGAGCCGTGAATGGGGTATGTTTGACTCTCCATGCTTGCAGGTTAAAACGAGTTTTGCAGACATGTCATGTCGACCAAAAGGCTGCATTGTGTTATTCATACTGGTGTAAAGAATCATTACAGTATTCAAGGTCACCCAAGGATACGACAGTAGCTTCGCTACACGTTACATGTACACAAAAAATGATAGCGGACATGTAATGTCCAGTAAACTGTTTAAAATAACTGTCTAATGCGCCTTCAGGATCTTTAAGAAAACAACGCCACCGCCTTCTGGAACTTACTTTAAAGAATTAAAAAATACCGAATCAGTACACCAAGAAGATCTACCAGCGGACACTTGGGTTGAGCACTTTAAAAACATGCACAACAAATGCAGACTAAAACAGAAAAAAATCTTTGACTTTAACTATGAAAAAGTTACTACTAAAAACATTCTACGCAAACTCCAAGTACTCCATAAATGTAAGTCAATCCCAGGCCTCTAGATAACCCAATTACGGTGTCTGAAATCATCGACGCAATACACACCTTAAAAACAACAATAACACAAAAAAGCCAGCGCAGGGGACATGGTCATCAATGGAATACTTAAAGCAGGAAAACGAATTTTACTGACCCCTCTATTAAGAAAGTTATATTATCCTCATTTCTAATGGGCGAAATGACCCATATAATTATCGTGGGATGGCCATTATCAGCTGTTTAGGAAAGCTATTCTCCTCAATACTAAACTAAAGACTGTCAACCTTCTTTGAAGAAAATGAAATCATGAAACCAAACCAAACAGGATTCAGAAAAAAACTACAGGACATCAGATAACATCGTCATATTGAAAACTCATATCTAAACACACACGGTCTGGAAACGCTTATCGCTTGTTTTGTCGACCTATCAAAAGCCTTTGACTACATTTGACATGAGGGACTGCTATTTAAACTTCTCTCAAACGGCATTTCAGGCAAACTCTTTGACATAATCAAACACTTAGACAACCAGTCCGAAGCCAGTGTCAAAACTAGGAATGGCCTAAGCGAAACTTTTACTCTTAAAATCGGTGTTCGGCATGCAAGGGTGTATTTTAAGCCCCACCGTAAACCGCCGAAGTAGTACACTAATGCCAGGTAGAAATGTCGCTCACAGTCGGGTTGTAAGCTAACTTGGCCCCGCGACCCTGGTTACGTGCCCTGGCGATTTTGTGATTTGGCTGACGGATGTTTCGTGTGACAAATCACATTCGATGCCGAAGTGGGCGCACTGGTAACGGAAACGGAAAGGCACGGCGCACACGATCGGGGAGTGAGCGCGAATAACTCCGCGCGCCTGGATGCGCGTCCCGCTAAATTTGTGATGTTATACATGAAACATGTGCCAGAACCATGGTTCCTTTTCCTGTTGAAGACATTATAGAGAAACTTGTACTTACCACAACAGTCGCCCCTGTTCAGGACGCTGACCCGGTTGACTGGGTAGGTTCCTCCCAAGTCCACCTTCCACCACGGCTGGTACACGCGGTTAGTGTGAGTGCACTGGTTGTACCAGGTTATCCTCGTACCCCTGGAACCGTCTACAGCCTTCTCGGGTCCCCAGTGTGATGGAGCAGAACTACAACTTGCCGTCTTGCGAAGAGCGACGTTGCTTTCTGCAGGGAAATACAAGCGAAAAATAAGGGCGCCTGTATTTGTAGCGCCGATACAGAGGTAAAACTCTGTATCGTATTTTTTAACAATCAAGTAATAAATATAAGTGGGGCATGGTGTTACCGAACCTGACAGAAGGCTCAATTGAAGATTAAGATGGTCTCATGGTCTCTGTAGATTAGGAAGAAGTGGCATTGGATTGGGGGTCAAAATGGAAATAAGTGTTTTTTTTTTTGTCAATTCTAAGTCACGCGTTTACCTGGTGGTATTTATATGCCAATTATAAAGCCAAGAATCCCACAAATCCAACCTTGAACCTTGAACGTGTACATCTCTAATCCAAATTTGTTCATTAAATGGTCACTCAGGGATCACTGTCTAGTTTAAAGGGGAATTATTTGAGGAAAAGGCGCAATATTCTAATAAAACCCTGTGCTCACCTGTGATACAGCGGTATGATACCTCCAAGTACTTTTGCACTCCGTAACAAGGGTCTCCACCGAAAACGCTGCTACTCGCTGTCACTGAGCACTGCCGCTTGCCCTGACAGGTGCCCCTTACCACGGCCAGGCTGGTGGCCGCGCGGCAGTTGGTACGACAGGTGGAGCAGGCACAGGAGTGGGAGGCGGTCGTCCTGCCGTAGTTCGCCTCCACGATCAACAGCGTCTTTCTGTCCGAGCAAGACAGTTGTAGGGTGCCCCTCTCGCAGGCGGAGGCTGTTTCTGTGTCAACGTTTGTGTATCAATGTCAGTTGAGTAACTTGGGTGAAATATTTTCCCCTTACTCACGAGAAAACGGCGGGATGGCATTTATAGACAACCCTGATCCTAAGGTACGAGTAATTTATTTTTTACATTAACATGTATTTGTTGGATCACCTGTCTTAATCTAAAAAGAAAAAAAGAAAAAGAGAATCCTAGCCTACCAACTTATCAATGTTTTTTCAGGAAGCGGAGACATAACATGGTTTTCCTATGCCTTACCTGTGTGTTGACACCACAGAAACAATACTTAGCCAATTTAAAAGTGGATATTTTTTAATAAATCAACACAAAAATCTCTAAACAAATGTCTATAAAAAGGGAAATGACGTTAAGAATCTTACCATGCTCGGGGGCAGTGGTGAAGACGAGTCTCTGTTCCAGGGAGTACAGCCGGGTGTTTCTCACCTCCACTCTCGCCTCTTCAACCTTCGCCGTCACCTCTGACACCAGACCTAGTGAACATCGTACATGAAAACACGTACATTGTAAAAAAAACCCGATGCAAGTAAGCTTTCTTAGCGAATGATGTACATGTAAACCTATAATTTTCTTATTATAAGAAAAAAAGTCCTATGATCCCCCTTCCTTAGGCCAGAAATTGTTCAAGCCTTCATAGTAAATGTCGTTAAGTTATAACCTTAATGTAAAGAAGACATTCAATGATTCCGTCACATTTTTTTAATCACTTTTGCCTCTTTGCCGAGGGTCGTAAAGTTAGAACCTACTCAAAGATATTGCGCTGCTTTCAGAAGAAATTAAGAGCGAATGTCTGTAAGGATCAAACAATGGTGGCAGGGGTCAAAAAATCGATTTGGCTCAAACTTTGCACAGTGATAGTACTTGGCCCACAACCCCTCAAAATAGCTTTCTTTCCGGTCGGCACCGATCGTTGCCATGGTAACGGGCCAAACAAGTTTCGGGGCCATTTTCCCTGATTTAGACATGTGAAAAACATGAAATTTGGCATAGTTTAAGGCACGATTACGAGCAAGTGCTTTCATATTATGGAAAAACAAAGTATGGGCATAAAAGACCAACTAATCCGCTATTCTAGAATAGCTTTGAAATTTTCAAGAAGTTCGTTTAAAGGACCTGGGCAACCCTAACACAATACAGTGTTTGAGGCTTATGAAAAAGCGCTATTTCTGCCCAATTTCGAAGTGCTGTAAGTCCAAAGATGGTGATTTTTTTTGCTTCAAATTTGAATCATAGATACATAAACATATGTGCTGTAAAATGCATGGTTGCAAACTTTGGGCACTTCTTTGGTTGTCACGTGGTTGTCCTTAGAAGTAGGTCAAATTTTGAATTTGAGGGAAAATATGATTTTCAGCCATGTTCAGGATACTATATCTACAAAAGAAAGAAAGCAATCTGATAAAGTCTTTGCCCAAAGTAACACTATGTCTTGTGTATTAAATGAATACTTGGGGAAGTTGAAGTCTTGTGTCGTTGGTGTGCACTTGTCCCTCAAAGTAGGCCATATTTTGGACATGTACAGAAATTGACATATACATGTACGACTATGTTTGAAGGTCTAGTTAGATGCTTTTTGAATTCAATCTTTGCGGGGAAGTACATATATTTATAGTATATCAAATGAATACTTATGTAAGTTGGGGTCTTGTGTCGTTGGTGTGCACTTGTCCCTCAAAGTAGGCCATATTTTGGACATGTACAGAAATTGACATATACGGCTATGTTTGAAGCTCTAGAAAGAACAAAGTTAGATGCTATTTGAATTCAATCTTTGCAGGGAAGTACATATATGTATTATACTATAATAGACACATGGTAGAAGGATTGGTCTGAAAATAAATTCACTTTGGTATTTTTATCAGCTCAAAAACAGCCCAAAATCCAAATTTGGGGACAATTGCGGAAAATGACCTACTTCGAGGTTGCCCAAAGACTGAAATCTGCCTGTACATCAATTTCACACCTATTTCGTACAAGTTAATGCATTGGTCTAATAATATCCTGAAGTATTTGTCGTTACGTTAACTTAAAGCAGTTGGCGGTGACCGCGTCCTAAACGTTGCCAATTTCCGTGTTGTAGAGACGCAAAAATTTGTCAAAATGGCCCCAAAACTTGAATGGGCTGTTGCCATGGCAACAATGGGTTTTGAGCGGAAAGAAAGCTATTTTAAGGGGTTGTGGGCGAAGTAGTATCACTGTGTAAAATATGAGCAAAATCGATTTTTGACCCCACTCACTATTGTTTGATCATTACAGACATTTGCTCTTTAAATATGGCCTACTTTTAGGGACAAGTATACAATAACGACACAAGACCCCAACCTCCACAAGCCCTTATTTGATACACAATACATATATGTACTCCTCTTCAAAGATTGAATTAAAATGGCATCCTACTTCGTAATTTCTAGACCTTCAAACATAGCCGTATATGTCAATTTCTGTACATGTCCAAAATATGGCCTACTTTGAGGGACAAGTGCACACCAACGACACAAGGCCCCAATCTCCACAAGTATTCATTCGATACACAATACATATATGTACTTCCCTGCAAAGATTGAATTCAAATGACATCCTACTTTGTTATTTCTAGGGCTCTAAACATAGCCGAATATGTCAATTTTTGTACATGTCCAAAATACGGCCTACTTTTAGGGACAAGTGCACACCAACGACACAAGACCTCAACCTCTACAGGTATTCATTTGATACACAATACATATATGTACTTCCCTGCAAAGATTGAATTCAAATGACATCCTACTTTGTTTTTTCTAGAGCTTCAAACATTGCAGTATATGTCAATTTCTGTAAATGTACAAAACATGGCCTACTTTTAGGGACAAGTTCACACCAACGACACAAGAACCCAACCTCCACAAGTATTCATTTGATACACAATACATATATGTACTTCCCTGCAAAGATTGAATTCAAATGACATCCTACTTTGTTTTTTCTAGAGCTTCAAACATTGCAGTATATGTCAATTTCTGTAAATATCCAAAACATGGCCTACTTTTAGGGACAAGGGCACACCAACGACACAAGAACCCAACCTCCACAAGTATTCATTTGATACGCAATACATATATGTACTTCCCTGCAAAGATTGAATTCAAATGACATCCTACTTTGTTATTTCTAGAGCTTCAAACATAGCCATATATGTCAATTTCTGTACATGTCCAAAATATGGCCTACTTTGAGGGACAAGTGCACACCAACGACACAAGACTTCAACTTCCCCAAGTATTCATTTAATACACAAGACATAGTGTTACTTTGGGCAAAGACTTTATCAGATTGCTTTCTTTCTTTTGTAGATATAGTATCCTGAACATGGCTGAATATCATATTTTCCCTCAAATTCAAAATTTGACCTACTTCTAAGGACAACCACGTGACAACCAAAGAAGTGCCCAAAGTTTGCAACCATGCATTTTATAGCACATATGTTTATGTATCTATGATTCAAATTTGAAGCAAAAAAAATCACCATCTTTGGACTTACAGCACTCCGAAATTGGGCAG